AAAAAAAATTTTTTTGATCTTTTAAATATATTAATCTGTAAAATATCTTCAGTTTCAAAAACTTACGAATCTTCTACTTTTTGAAAATACTGTTAGCGATATCATTTTGATGATTGTCGTTTTCAGGGAATGTTTTGTAATTCTGGTTTGTGTTCATGTTTGACCACCTATATCGCTGCAGAATCTTATTGCTACCAAAGTAAGCAAAAGAATGAATGATTGAATCACATAAACCATATTTAAATTTTGCAGTATATATATTGCACTAAATTGCTTATTTTATTTTGCTGTACTGTCTTTTCTGGGAATTTTAACAAATCCATTTTGATAGTAGTACTCGATTTTCTAGTACTGTTACTATAGTTTTAGTTACTATTAAGATTTAGTGCAAATTGTAAAGTGTTTCAAAATAGATTATTACTTCAACAAACATATCCGTGAACAATGGCTCAGTCTTGCCTTTTTTTGCTTTGCAGAAATTGATCCAGGCCAACCTGGCTGTGTTTACAATGAACAGTGTAATGCTGTATGGCCAGAAGCTTTTTGCGACACTTCAGCAGGTGTTGGTACCTGTAGGTGTGGTGAGAAAAAAGTTGAAAAAGCAACCAGGGATGGCCATGTTTGTCTAGATGTTAATGATGCAAATGAAAATACTCTTGCAATTACTTGTCCGCTACCTGAAGGGGCTGGGTAAGTTTGGGTGATAGCTTGAAAAGCTCCTACGTGTTTTCCCATTTGTGGTAGTCTTGTAAAAAATTAAATGATTTTTTAGACGTTAGAAGAAAAATAACATACTCATAAGCTAAAGTATTGACAAAGAAATAATTTTTTACATGAAGCAATATTTTGATTAGTTGGATTATTGGTGTATTTTAGATACACATCAGCATTGTCAGATCCAAATCATCCAAGGCAAAATGATGGCCCAGGTCCTGTATTGTGCAATACGGAAAGCACTGTGACATCACAAACGGTTGGTAGTGATGATATCGGCGATGGCAGTGCAGCATGTCTATTTCCGTCAGACAACTCATACTTGGCTGATATATACGATTGTGTAGAATTTGTTTCTGTTATGGACTTAACTAGTGCAGGATATAGTCCGAAAGCAAATGGAATATGTTGTCCTAATAGAGGTATTCTTTGGTTAGAGATCAAGACCGCATAGCCAGTTTTTTTACTGCCTACAGTAGACAAGCAATTTTTTAATTTCAATAGAGACACACTTAGGCTTTACCGAATTATTCTAGAAGGTTATACATATTCCTAGTAATTTGATAAACTGTGAACCTTTTCGTATAATTTCCAGCTTTCACTTGCGTGCAACCAACAGCCACTGGTCCAAATCCAACGGAGCCACGTTGGTGGTATAATTCAGTGACCGGTATGTGCCAGCAGTTCCTGTGGGATCCCGTAGCAAGCGGTTCCGGCGAACACTCACCTAATAATTTCAGAACGGTTGAACATTGCGAGTCTTACTGCAGAGACAGTAAGTTACTGCACATGAAGTTTGTATCAAAAAATAAAGAATTTTTTCCTGCACAACGAGAAAACTGAAAAAAATTACTTAACACTTAATTTTTTTAAATGTTATATGAGTTTTTAAACCAACTATACTTACTTTCGGTCTCAAAACCATTTCAGTAGCTTTGTGTAACTTGTCATGCACTTGAATTACTATTTATTTTGCTTGTTTACCACAGTTGTTGTGCCTCTGGTGTAGGTAATAATGAAAAAAAAAACTTATTTTAAAAGTCTTCTTGGCAGCAATTGGCTTTTGACGATTTTTAAATCTGCATTCTTCAAATGTAGTAACAGAATTATCTCACAGCATGTAGTCGTGGGGCACCTGAGTACGATGTACGAGGGACAATAATAGAAGAAAATCCAATAACTGGTTGCTCTCAAACAACAACCTGCGGAAATCACTATGAATGCAAAACTGTTGGTTCTGTACAGTGGTGCTGCCCGTCTGTTGGTAAGTTTCAAATAATAACTAACATCTTTCCTTTGAATTACGGTATCGCCTTAGTAGAATTTATTGTCTGACTCCTCTACTTTTCTGTTGTACAAAAGTAATCTGTTACAGCTGCAATTTGCGGTATTGTTGGTGGTCGACCAACTGATCCTTCGATTCAGTACCGGTTAACGACATTCCATCCTGGTGTACAGAAACAGGGTACAGGTCCATCTACAAGGTACAATGAGCTAATATCAGTTATTTAATTAAAAAGATGGCAATTTCGTAGAAACCATTAATTGTAGATTTTACTACGATCCGTCTCAAGGAAAGTGTTCGGCCTTCACGTACAATGGTGCTGGTGGAAATTATAACAACTTTATGTCACGTATCGACTGTGAACTTTTCTGCTCAAGACGTAATTATTTCTTTTATAAAATATATATTCGACTACTGAAGTGGAAAAATAGCCAGTAATGAAGCTTATAATTAGTTTTTTCTCATTACAGTCCAGTGTGATCGTGGAAATCCTCTACGAATAGGTGAAGTAACTCAAAACTGCCAGAGCAATAATGACTGCCCGTCGTCACATGAGTGTAAAGCCGATCAAGGAGTTTGTTGTCCTAGAATGCGTAGGCTAATAAAAAATTTAAATAGCTCTAGTACTGCAGTCTGAAATTTGTTTTTAAGCCTATAAATTTTCTCAGTAATAGTGCATTTGTTAAGAAACAATATGTACGCAACCGTTGCGAGTTGGTAATTGTGATCGGAGCGTTCGTCGTTACTGGTACAATGCTCAGACCAGAGAATGCCAATCTTTTGACTATACTGGTTGTCAAGGGAATGATAACAACTTTGAAACGCTGATGGATTGTCAAACTTTCTGTAGAAACGCTGCGCGTAAAATTCTATTTTTTTGCTTACAAATGGTTGTTTATAATAATTTGACAATTATAAGTCGTTTTTAACTAAACAAACTGGATGACAGCATTTACAAACATTTACAGTTTTTAATTTATTTTAGCTGAACCTCGGTGTCCACAGGGTCAGCCCTACAAGGACAACAACGGTAAAGCAGTCTCGTGTTCATCGTCAAGATCGAAATCTACCTGTCCTGCAAATTATGAATGCTATTTTGATGGGAATATGTTCGGCTGCTGTCCCAACAAAGGTCATTAATTAACAAGTTTGCTCACGCAAACAAAACTCAAATTTGCATTTGATACGGTAATATTTGTGATACGTATAACGCGTGAATATTTTAGCTTTCACATGTTCTTTGCCTAGCAGCAGTGGTGTCACTTGCGGACCCGGTGTTTCGTATAAATATTATTACAACTCTCAAACACAAGAATGTGAAACGTTTGAATTTTTGGGTTGTGATGGTAATTCAAATAATTTTGCTACACGTGGAGAATGTGAATCTTTCTGCGGCGTTGGAGGTATATTCTTCGTCATCGATTTGGCCAATGGTCATATTCATAAAGATCGTGCTTTGGTTGTCATAGCTGTAGCTTATAACTTCTTTGGCTTATCGACAATAGTTAATTTATTAACTTTGAGGGTGTGTTAATGGTGGTTCCCCACTTCGCGATAATAGTGGCGTTCTGGTCAGTTGTACTGATAAAGACGATTCCTGCCCGAGTACCCATGAATGTCAGGCTGTTATGGTTGGCAATCAACCATCGTCTAGGTGTTGTCCATCTAGAGGTGAGATTTGGTTCTTGCTTCTTCGTTTGTATCAAACAGTCACTCACTGTTCTAGCAACTGTGGTCATTCATGAATCGTACTTTAGCTTACATCTGTGGTCTGCCACCCCAACAAGGCTCGTCGTTGTGCTCTGGAGGGCTGACTGTTGTAACTCGTTACTATTTCAATATTGTCACTCGGAAATGCTCATCTTTCGTGTACAATGGTTGTGATGGTAATCCAAACAACTTCGGCTCACTAAATCAGTGCAACAACTTTTGTCACGCAGCCGGTAAGCGAAATTTTGTTTTTCGCTACAGATTTCAACACAATTTTTCCAAATAGTGCTGAGAAGATTGTAAATTAAGCTAGTTTGGTCTTGTGAATCTTTGGTTTTGAAAATGTTCGATGAACTTAGTTGTGAACAAAATCTTACTTTATTTGCTTGGGCTATACCAGTTTCTATTTAGCATGTTCTGCTGGTGATATTGTGTACCTTAATCCTAATACTCAGCAGCCAATAACCTGTAATGACGAGATGCAAAATAATTGTCCACGAAACTTCCAGTGTACCTTTGACTCGCTGACTGAGCAGAACGTCTGTTGTGGTGCTACGG